CCTGCTGAGTAATCTCATTTTTCATCCTTGCAGCACAAATGGGTTTATTCAGTGTTAGGTCACATTTGCTTCTTCTCAACAATAGCCACAATAAATAGGCTCAGTGACGTGGAGAGTTCAGCCTGGGATCCAGCCTCCTCTGGCTGGGGTCTGGGTGCTGGTTAGTGCTCCTGCTGCTGCTGCTCCAGTCTGGAGGAGCTGAGTATCCTTTCCTTGCCTTGTAGCAGGGATCTGTCAGGATGGTGGGAAATGCAACCCACCTATTTTCCCTGTCAGGAATCTGAGTAGTCCTTGCACAGAGGGCCAGGAGCCCTTTTCTCTCCTTGGGGATGTTTCATCCTCCTGCTGAGGACCTAAGCCACGATGAGAGACTTTGTCCTGCATCAGTCCCAGCCTGCATCCAGCAGGTTAGATTGAACAGGGATAAGTAGGTCTTGGCTAATCTGACTCATTTCAGCTGCCCAAAGCAGAGCAGTGACCCCTGCTGAGAGGGGAGGTGGGTGGTCACAGCTTTGCAGGCTTCCCTCTTGTTACCCTGAGCAGCACCAGCATTGGGGGGTCCCCACACGCAGGCTGTGCCACGCTGGTGTAAAATGGAGCTGTCACCTTCCTTGAGAGACCAAATCCTCAGGCTGGCCTTGGGCTCCTGGGGGAAGGAGCAGTGCTTGGCAAGGGGGAGTACTTATCTGCTGGGGTGGCTGGAGCGAAAGGGTAGTACCCTCTGAGGCATCTGCCACAGGGACAGAGTTACAAATAACCACATATTGAGTAGGAAACGCAGTCGAACAAATACGATTTCAAAACCATCTCAGGCAGCTGCTGGGGGGTTTGCTGGTTTTCTGTGATACTCACTGACGGGATTATAAAAGTCTTTTGCAGATCTCCAGCACAAGCCGCTGCTCGTGGATCTCACTGTAGAAGAGGGTCAGAGGCTGAAGGTTATCTTTGGATCACACACTGGTTTCCATGTGATTGATGTAGATTCTGGGAACTCTTACGATATCTACATACCATCTCACGTGAGTAGGAGTGCTGCTGCATGGCTGACACAGGGCACCAGCACAGGCTGGACTGGCTCTTGGTGGCTCAGAAATGATGACCAGTCAGGTGACATCTTGCCATGGGTGCAACATTCTGCAGTGCCATCCTCACTGACACTCACTTAAAGAGGACTCAGAGGTGTCATATACTTCATTATTCACACAGGCTGTTTCTGTCCTCATGCCTGAGCAGTCAGGTTGAAGGTTGCTGTGTCCCACAGGAAGGAGAATCTGTCAATATGCTGCATGAAGCAGTAATGGAGCTCTCTATAGGGCAAGATACTGTGAAACCAGTTTCATGATCATCGGACAACACAGATCCACCAAGAGCTGGATGTCCAGCCCACTGTCCCATTCTGTGGTGTCCCAGATGTGCTCACCAATGCTTCCTTCTTCCTGCT